GGGAGTCGTATCAACAATTGTTCGGATGTGAATTGGGCTCATTACCGTTTACATACTTAGGTATACCCATTCATCATCGTAAGCTGACTAATTTTGAGCGGAAATGCATTGAGGATCGGTTTGAAAAGAAACTGAGCTGTTGGAAAAGAAAGCTCATGTCATACGGAGGACGATTGATTCTGATTAATTCGGTCCTTACTAGTATGCCTATGTTTCTCTTATTCTTTTTCTTGGTTCCGGTGGGCGTCAGGAAAAGGTTAGATTTCTACCGATCACGATTTTTTGGCAAAATGATGAGCTTAAACGTAAGTACAGGCTTGCTAAGTGGGATATTATTTGTAGGGCTAAGGACCAAGGTGGTCTAGGTATTGAAAATCTGGAAGTCAAAAACATATGTCTCCTTAGCAAGTGGCTATTTAAGCTGTCATCTGAGTCGGAGGCCACTTGGGCACAGATTTTGTGCAATAAGTATCTCTATGCTAAAACTTTGGCCCAGGTGAATGTGAGGCCTTCCGACTCTCCCTTTTGGAAGGGTTTGATGAGAGTTAAACAACTCTTTTTCAACAAGACTAAATTTATTGTTGGGAATGGTGCCACTACGAGGTTTTGGGAGGATACGTGGCTTGGGGAGACCCCCCTTGCACTTCAATATCCTTCTTTGTACAACATTGCCCGACATAGAGAAGCCTATGTTGCTAATGTTTTACATTCCGTTCCCCTCAATATTAGTTTTAGACGGACGCTTGTTGGGAATCGTTGGGAGGCCTGGCTCCATCTCGTTAGACGTTTAATGGAAGTCCGGCTGTCTCAGCAGCCAGATCAGCTGCATTGGAAACTTACTAAGAACGGTGTGTTCTCGGTCAAATCAATGTATCTGGATGTCATTAACACTAGCGTCATCCCTACCTCGTTACATGTTTGGAAAGTTAAGGTACCCTTACGTATTAAAGTGTTTATGTGGTTTGTGCATAAACAAGTCATTTTGACTAAGGATAACCTTGCAAAACGAAATTGGGTGGGCTCGTATAGATGTAGCTTTTGTGATCATAACGAGAATATCAAACACCTCTTTCTCGACTGTCCGTTGGCTAAGATTCTGTGGCGGTTGGTTTATATTGCATTTAATATTAATCAGCCCACCTCTATCAGCATGTTATTTGGAACATGTCTTGATGGGGTGGATTCTGACATTGCAAGACACATTCGGGTTGGCGTTTGTGCTTTATTGTGGGCAATATGGAACTGCGGAAATGATTTAGTCTTTAACAGATCAACAACCATTCACTTTTTGCAGGTTATCTTCAGGGCCACGGCGTTCATCCGTATGTGGTCGCTACTCACTCCGACGGAGGCCAGGGAGCGTTTGGCTACTGCGTCTACCCGATGGGAGATGGTAGCTCGGGATATTTTCAACCGGTTTGGATGGCGGTCATGTAATAGGATAGGCATGTAGTGCTCCTATTGTTTTGCCAGCCGGTTGTGGCTTCGGGTCTTTCCTCTTTTGCACTTTTGTTGATGATTGTACTACGACCTTTCGAGACTTTGTTACTGGATTTTCCTTTTAATAATATGAGTCGTATGCATCGTTCTGATGCAGAGACTGGGGTACATCCCCTTTTCCAAAAAAGGCTATAATGTACACCTTCAGATTTTAATCCTAAATGGGAGCAAAAGCTTCACAGAGAAATGCCTGATAACTTATAGGCGATGAAGCCTCAGAAGGTTACGTTCCTGGGTCTCTGTTCGGCATCCCTTTCAACACTGAAAAATGTTTTTCACTACTAGCTGCGGTAAGGGCATCTCCAGCCGCGCCCCCAGGAAAGCCTTCCCAGGCGTTTTTTTCGCGCCGGCGCCGAAAAAACGGCCCAGTCGCGCCCCAGGAGCCGGATTTTCGCCGGCTTGGACCGAAAACAGCGCCGGCGGAGCCAGCCCGAACCCGGCGCGCTGGGGGGCGCCCCGGGGCGCCGGGCGAACTGTTTTGGCGCGAAAAAGCCACGGGCCCGCCGCGTCAGCGACACGGCTCTCTTCTCGGCCCTTCGTCGTCCTCATCGCCTCGTTTCCCGCGGCGAATCAATGCCAAAGCTGCCGCGCGCTGCCGCGCCGGTCAGCCTGCACCATTGATGCCTCACGGGCGGCGCAGTGAAGACCGGACGACGTGCGTCCCTCGCCCTCCCTCGCCCGCCACGCGTACACACGGTGGCATGCGCGCCTCGGCCTATATATGACGCGCCCCGGCGCACTCGGCGACTCACACTCTCCCTCCATTGTCGTTCCTCCCTCTCCTCTCCTCTCTTTCGCCGTCTCCAGTTCACACCCATGGCCGAGCGCTTCCCAGGCGACGGCGTGGCGGCGAACGGCTTCGGCCGCCGCCATCTTCATGAAGACGAGGCTCGCCTCCTTTACGAGGCCGAGTACCCGGTCCCGCCGGACATGCGGGTGCCCGGGGCGTGGAGGATCAGCGCGGGCGGCGTGCCGGTGCCCCCGGTACCCACCGGCGCGGCGCGGCGTGCGGAGATCGCACACATCCGCTCGAACCTGGCGTGTGCGGCGAGGGAGGGGCCACGGTACGTCCCGACAGCCCGCTCTGGAACCCTTACTTCCGCCGCCGTCACGCCCAGCAGCTCGAGGCCACCAACGGCGTCGTGCCCTCCGGCAGGCTCAACGCCGCCGGCCGGCGTCGGTGGTGGGGCGTGCCCGGGCGCACGTTGGAGGCCGTCCTTGAGTACATCGAGGTCGTGCCCTCCTCGGCATGTAGAACCGCATGGGCGGGCGGCGAGGGAGACGGCGGGGGTAGCCCGCGGTATTTTTTTTCTTTTTTTGTAAAATATGTTTAAGTTTGAATGAACTCGCCGATGTTTGCGTTAAATTTGAGTCGTTTTTGCGCCGTATTTGACTTTTTTGACTAACCGTGGGGGCCGCGACTGGGGGGCATCACGCCCCCAGTGCGCGGTTTAGCGCCGGTGCGCCCCAGGGAGCGATTTTTTGCCCCTCCTGAGGGGCCAACGGCTGAAGATGCCCTAACTCAACAGGCATGACAATGTGCCAGGTTTATCTTCAAAGATTCACCATCGGACTTGCAGTGGTACACACTGCCAGTAATCTGCACGAGAACATGTGCCATCTCTGAAGTGGTGGAAGCGAACCGCGTCTCTCAATATTATTTCTTTGTTTTCACTTTTTGATATCTATTTCATAGCTAAATGACAGTCATGGCAGACTCTGAAGTTCTTCATTAGTAACTCGTATACGTGCTAACTACGGTAAATGAATCAATCCTAATGCCACAACTAGTTTCTCACTGTGCCAATTCATCCAACTTTGCTCGTTTCTAGTGATGTCATCTGACTTTGTGCTGGAAGTATCGATGTCTGCCCATTTGGTATTCTTGGACGTCCCGCTCCTCCGGACGTCAAATACCCGCCTCTCCTCGCCCATGTCGCCGCACCTGGCGTACACACTGACGAGTGAATTGGAGACGAACACGCCCCTGGCGATCCCCTCGAGGACGGCCAGCGTGTGCACGGCCTGGCCCTCCCCCGTACGTCAACCGGTCGGTCCTAATGCCCATGGCGTGCGTGGTGCACGCGTGCGAAGGCCCCCAGACATGCGTCAGGCTCTCTGTCCCGCGCGATAGTAGACATCGATGAGGAGGTTGAAGGAGACGGCATTGGCGCAGGGCATTTCGTCGAGCCGGCAGTATGCTGCAAGGAGTGTGTTGCGGAGGAAGGGGGTGGGCTCAGGAGATTTGGCCGTAGGAGGTTGGTTGGTTGTTAGTGCTCCATGACTTTTGTGGCTTCTGCGAAAAGATTTGTCATTGAAAAAAAGATGATTGTGTGGCGATCGTACATGTGCTGCAAAACCAATCAACAGCAAAATTTGTTAAATAATATGCCATTCTCTCGATGCTGGAGATTTTGTCAACATTTGTAAGACAACTTGCCATTAGCTCGATGTTGCCACAACAAAAATACCAAAAAAAAAACTTCAGAAACTAACACGAGGAGATCAACCAGTGATGAGGTGTGCATGAATGCCTAGCTGCAGATGAGGACTTGATGCATGCTCTGATAAAGTGCACTCATGCAAAGAGATTCTGGGGGGAAGCGAGAGAATGGCTACAAGTGAAACTTCCTGATCTCCACCCAGAAACATGGGCGAAGGATATTCTTTGCGACCCAGGGTTTCAAGAAGCTGATAGGGCACTGTGATGTGGGCGATTTGGACTTCCAAAAACAACATAACACATGATAAGGAAAACTCAAGCCCAATCCAGTTTTTGAGATCGATCAAGGATGCTTTGGCGGTGCTAGAACTTCCTATGGAACACACCAAAGTCCTGACCGGCTATTGGTGGAGACCGCCTAAGGGTGATTGGATTAAAATCAACACTGATGCAGGTATCTCCCGTGAGGAATGTAAAGGGGGTGCAAGAGGGATCGCCCGGTCTTCGACTGCCTTCCTTGCGGCCTGAAGCAAGCCTTACCCCGGAGTGACATATCCATTGGTAGCAGAAGCTTTGGCTCTACGTGATGGTGTTCTTTTTGCTCGTCCCCGAGGCTTCCTGCGAGTTGTTCTGGAGGTTGACTGCAAGGATGTAGTCGACCTGTGGGCTTCATGCTCGATGGTAGCGTCCGTTCTACTGGAGATAGAAGAACTAGCATTATCTTTTCAGTCTTTTGTTATTCAACATATATCTAGAAAAGCCAATACTCCAGCCCACTTTTGTGCCAAGTTTGCTTGCACGTTAAGGGTTACGAGTTGCTGGATGGACTCCCCTCCCAGTTTTCTCATGACTAGCATTATGGCTGATCATGCAGGAGCTAGAGATGATTGAATAAAGTTCTTATTTCCTCGCAAAAAAAGCAACCAAACATTTTTTTCCTGTTCTAAACGACATAAATAGAACTTCTTCACGAGGGAAGGACGCACCTAGCCATGTAGGTTAAGCCTAAAAGCAAAGAGCATCTCAAGCGCTATGTGTAACTGGACCGTATATAATTCTAAAGCGGCATGGATAATTTCCCTGTTGGCAGTATGTCCTTATAGCAAGGTCGGTAAATGAACGAATCCTCAATGCAGCAAGCTGGTCCCATGCGGTCTTTACAAAACTCGTCCCCGTCGCCTAGATACTGCATCCTTGACGTGTCAAGATGGTACACTACCACCACGCCGTTAAGAATGAGGATGAGCGCATTCTTGTGCGGATGGAATCCCAATGTACAGCAGTAGGTACGCTGTTCTACCAACTCATGGTGGTCGGCGCCTCCAACCATGTCGATGAAGTTGTCCTCATCCGAGTTCCAGGAATATTCAGAGTGATATGGTGTGGCCCAATCGTCCTCTGCATCATTATCGGTCAAGCTAACAGGTCCGCCGCTGCTTCCAAAAATCCTCCATGTCACCTTGGGCTGTATTTTAAGAGTGCAAATCATATGGCCATGCAAGTTGAGGTTGGCGTCATGTGATAATGTCCAACCTAGTTGTCCATCCGCCAATTCGGCTAGCATCCATACTCGAAGTTGTGTATTGTTAGTCGCCACATAATGTATCCCTCTCTCATAGCTTTCTAAGACCCGATTTTTGGGCATCGAGTACCAGCTTCTTGGACCACAGGGTTCCCCGGGAAGCTGGACCATATCATAAGTTCCCTCGAAAGGGCGTAGGATCACAAGGATACTACTGTGGCAATGTATCACTACAAGAAATATGTCAACTTATGACCACCACTATTGGTCACTGAAAGGTCATAAATTTCCATTTATGACCTTTTTGTGACCAAAAACAGAAGGTCAAAAGCTGGCC